TAGGAAGAATGATTGTTATTGTTTCTTTCCTTAATATTGGTATTAAAAATCAAGCAAGGAGGAAGGACAGATTTTAAAAATTCTACAATTTCAAGCAAATTTTCAAATTTCATTTAAAAAAATTAAAATTTTTAAATTTAAAAATTTTGAACTTAATATTGAAAAAAATTTAAAATAAAATAGTAACGGCTTAAGCCTTAAACAAAATAGGAAGAGTTTATACATATGTATATATATTTGTTCTAAAATACATAATTCAATTGTTTCTAATTAAAATTGTTAATACTACGTTTTATGTTTAAATTATTTATAGATTTAGCACAATAGACTTGTTTCACTCCACAAGTCGTTCATTTTATTATTTTGTAGCATTATTTCTACGAAAAATGTTGTTTGTTTTTTTTATTCTTATAACTAGGATTTTTTCAAAATGTTGTGCGTCGCATAATAAATGCTAGGGAAAAGAGGATCATCTATCAAATAAATGATTAAAACAAAATAAATAAACAATTAACTAAGACTAGTAGTAAATATACAATTAAGTAGTTTAATTTTTTTAATTAAAAATATATAATTTACAAGATATATTTTTATATACCTAGACTTTATGAGTGTACGAATTTGCAAAGTCGAATTCCTACTAATTTGAAATCAGTATTAAAAGATTATCTTTGGCGCAATTTAATTGTCGAAGTAAGTCTTCGAACTGCATAGCCTGTTCGAAGACTTTTTTAGTATATGAAAAAATGTCTTGTATCGGTAAAAAACGCTTTTCAGGATAATTCAATATTCCAAGTACTTTTCCCCAGTCTTTAATTGAATTCAAATAGCTTCACTTATCTTACAGGAAAAAATAGTACTAAGAGGTAGAAATGCCACTATGTATGTATATGGAACAAGTAAATATGTTGCAAAACTTTGCACGTTTAAAGTACATTAAATCGATCGGAACATTTATACGGCCTTTTATATGTCATGGTCAATTTTTGGTACTAAGTTGTGATACCCACTAACATAAAATATCAAAGTATAGCCAATGGGGGTATTACTATATTGGCCCTTATTAAGTCCAAAATTAAAATTTTTGGTAGGGAGTTTAACTACCCAATGAGAATTGAAAATACTAATTTATAGCCAATTTGATGGGAAAACGTGCTCAAACATTGGAACTATTCCAATAAAGGAACTAGGTCCGGTTCTTTTGTTCCTTTTTCTGATCTTGTTCCTTTAATTTTTTTTTGTGCGAACGGGAATCCATAAATTACTAATTTACAGCCAATATGGCCGAAAAAGACGTAGCAAATTTCCCAAAAAGTGGACCTTTATTGAACATTTTTTATAGGACAATTTGCTACCCTATGATACCCCAATGTAAGTTTAAGCCAATCAGTTAAAAAAAAGTGTCCTAAATCTCAAAATACCGAATATTTTGGGGCCTTTTTTTACCGTGCACTGATAGATCCCAATCAGTGTATGTATAAAATTTGAATGCTTTATCTTAAATATTTTGAGCTCTATGTTGATTTCAATAGACAGAATGGCTAAATCGACAAATAATTTTATTCTTATCCAAAAATATGTATACTCAATGGGGTCTCCGGTGAATATTTTGAGGAGTTGTAAAGGAAATGATATCGTAGTGATGGTCTACAGTATACCGACTGTAGACCATCATATAGAAGAGTTCATTGGAACTGTTCCGATAAAGGAACTATTGGAACTTTCAACAGACAGAATGGTTAAAGCGACAGATAATTTTATTTTGCTTAGAACAGTTCAAATCAATATCAATTTGTATTCAGAATGAAAGAATAAATTTAAGTTCGGTTAAAATGGGTACAGATATCGAATGTGCCACATAATATTAACGCCGAACGCGTACTGATAATGTAAGAATATGGTCAACTGTGAGATAAAGCCATGAACATCTGACGCTGTAGAAAGGTTTGCTCTCATTGGATTCCGCACAATTTGAGTTGGATAGTTCCAGAACAAACTAGTTCATTGGCATTATTGGCATTTTTGAAAATAATGTAGAAAAAATAATAAAAAAAATAGTTTGTGCTTATCGTCCTGCAGTTTATTTCTGCAGCTTCTGAATATTCTGCTAAATAGAAATGAACTAAAATACATTTTTTTTTTAATTTTTGCTCAATTAGTTTGATTTCTTCATCCATCGAAATCATTATGGAACTATGTAAATGAAAACAAGTTAAAACGATGTTAAGTTCCGCCCGGCCGAACGTTTTATACCCTCCACAATGACATTCAATATATATAAGATGAATGGAGGCTCCTAGTGAAATAATTTTGATACGGAAATAAACTATATAAGTTCCGTTCCAGAACCCAAAAGAATCTACTAATTTTACAAGTTTTGCAACTTTTTACTCGAAAACCGTTCCTCAACCCACAAAACGGGTAAAACTTTGAATCAAATTTAAGAGAGCACAATACAAAATGGCGTTCTCTTTGTAAACTTTTTACTCGAGAAATTTGGCCGAGTAAAAATGGTAAACAGGAATGTCTACTTCTGATTGGCTGTTATGTTGATTTTGAAGTATTGCCATCTAATTTTGGCAAGCGATTTTTTTTTTGAGAGCGATTTTAAATGTTTCCCTTTTACTAGCTTTACTATAAAAAAAGTACTGGAACAGACCAATAATGAGAACACAGAATACTGGATTACAGCCAATTCGGTTGAAAAACGTGCCCCAAATCCCCAAATATTGTGGGGGCTACCCTGAATGTTTAGTACGGATTAATAATGGATATTAATAATGTTTAGTACGGAGATGCACTATGCAATGAGAACTAAAATTACAGCCAATTCGGTCGAAAAAATGTGTCCAAAATCACTAAATTATAGCCAATATTGGGCAGGTACCGTATATGGGAGATACACCAAAACGTGGGTACTATAGTAAGGAACTAGTTCCTTTTTACAACAATATGTTTTGCTGAAGACTTCCAAAAAAAAAAAAATTAAAAACGATTGTGCACTATAATGGTTCATCTGCCGTGAAGCCCTGTATTTATTACCGTATTTTAAGAAAAAAACTTGTGAGCAGTGATTTTCGTTCTCCTATAGAAGCAACATTTATACCCTACACAACTATGTTGTCAGGGTATTATAGCTTTGTGCAGCCCCAAAAGTTTGTAACGCCGCGAAATATTGGTCCTAGACTCACCTCAAGTGTACCGATCGTCATATCTCGACTAGCTGAGTCGATCTAGACATGTGTGTCCGTTCGTCCGTCCGTATGTCTATTATAATTTGTAAACACGATACAGGCCACAGTTATGGACCAATCTTCCGAACATCGGACCAAAGAATAATCATGCCTGTTTTGATAAAGATCGGTCAATATTTAGCGGGTCAAATGGATCCTGACTTTTGTGTGAAAAATGACAAAAGTTATATTCTATGGCGTATATATTTACCCTGAAGGATATAGACCCGAGAAGTTGATACTATATCCAAGAGGAGTGGTTGACCTTTAAATTGATACCAATTATATTGTCGTACGTACTCGGATGTGGGACTTACAAGTAAATATTTACAGATATTATTTAGTAACCCATTACCACATTAGAGGGCGGAAATATAGCACTGATCGCTTTGAAATTTTCCATGAGGTTCTAGTTATGATCAAGGACAACGCATATAACTTTTGGTGATGGCCAGATTATACTTATGGAATGAAGTGGGCCGAATACTTAATTTTTTTTTGTGTTTTTTCGAGCCGATGCTAATAATAAGCCAAAAATCATAACACAGCCAACGGTGAAGGGAATCTGGACAATTAACTAGAAGCGCTGTACTGAATATGAGTGATATTCGGAAAATATGTCAGTGTAAGGAAGAGGTGCTGTTGACCTCTAATCGGGCTAGAGTGAGCAAATGTCACGAAATATTGCCCAAGCTCGGAATACACATCCGCAGAAAGTTAGAGTTCCGTGATAGTTGTGTAGGGTATCGTATGGTCGGCCCTGTCCGAATATACTGCTCCGCTCACTGGTTTAATAATGTAAATGTTTAAATAAATATCAGTTGTCTGATATAAATATCAGTGGTCTGATTTAACATGAATCATTACTTTGCCCTTGATTGAAACTCTCGCCGAAATCTTCACATTGTCCTTCAATATCTTAAACATAGTTAATACATGTTTGATGTATTGTAGGGGTCATACAGTCTGTGTATGAATATATTTCGTCAGATGATTTCCTGCATTTTATTCTCGATAGGTTAAAAATTGATTTTGCAATTTCGTACATACCTTTATTAAATACATCAGTCCATTATACTTTTCTTGTTGTTGTGTTTTTATCTTTTTTCAGAGGCAAATCTATTTTTGCATGTAATTGGCTTTCCTTTTTAGTTTAGATTTTTCATTAAATTATGGGGTTTTTTTCTGTTTTAGTTTTTTTTTCTCTTATTGTTGTTGTTCTTGTCTTGTTATACTAATTAAAAACCTTTAGAAGGAGTATATTTTTGTTGTTGTTGTGGTTCTTAACTATTCACAAAAATTAATATGTATGAAATTTGTTCTTGTTTTTTTTACGTAGAAAATATGTGTGAGTTGTAACAAAGTGTAATTTACTTTCCATCAATTGGCTTATATATGGCTTATAAAGTCTAAATTTTTAGTTGTTGTGGTTGGTTTGAATTCTTTAAATGTTTGTTTGTTCTTTGTTTCAATTGGTATTTTTTTTTTGATAACTTAAAAAAAATATTTATATAGATGATAAAAATTTGCCTTAAAAACAAGTGTTCGAATTGAGTACATGATCCGAAGTTAGAGTTGGGTTCTGTCACACATTAACTTAATATGTTATAATAATAATTAATATTATTGTTATTGTTGTTGTTGTGTTTGTTTCATTAATAGTTTTACAATTTAGTATTAATGTTTTGTTTGTGTTGTTCTTGTTGTATATATATAAGTATATAGTCATAGTTGGTTGATTTAGCTTGATTCCGTTTCTTTTTTTCAACAGTCTACTGTAAATAGTAACACAATTCTGTGCGATATTTGTTTGTTAAAAACGTGGTCCTAGAATGCGGTCAGACTGTAGTGACCCGATCTATTTCCACATATCGCACAGAATTGTCGCTTTGTCAGCAAATCACTTCCTTTTCATCCAAGACGGCAGTATCCATGGAACTGAGCGATTTGAGTCGGGTCTGCAATACCGATGATCCACGAAATTTTCTTTTGATTTTTCTGCAATTGGAAGAAGGCAATAGAAGGTCATTAGATTAGAAATAATATTGTATACAAATATAGCATATTCTTTTATCTACAGAATACGGCTGGGCCGAAAATTTTTTTCGGACTACTCTCATTGGGTATCAAATGATCGAAAATGATCAATATCGATAAACTCTTAAGGGTAGCCCCCCCCCAACATAACGGTGCCCACCATTATTCGGTACTTTGGCCGAATTGACTTATTTTGTATTTCTATTGGCTGCCAATATCACTACCCACCATAATCAATACTGATCCCCGTTTTGGTATATCCTCATAAAACACTAGTCCCACTATTTGGTATCTTAAGAATCAACTTTTTCTCATATTTTTAGGGTCCATTACGAAGGCATGGATTTTTTAAGAATAAATTTTTAGAACCCATTACCAAGGCGTAGATTTTTTTAAATATATTTTTAGAGTCCATGATCAAGGATTGCATTTTTATACCCTTCACCACACTGTGGTACAGGGTATTATGTCTTTGTGCATATGTTTGTAACAGCAAAGGAATCGAGATAGACCCATGGTTCCTTTTGAGAATATGCATAGAATCACGTTCTGAGTCGATTTATGCTTGCCCGTCCTTCCGTCTGTCTGTCAATGTTAAATTGAAAACAAAGAAATTTGGCATAGGTCACTTATTCGGCCCAAAGACGAACCCTATTGAAATTGGGAAAAATCGGCTCCCATATATATTTTCGTTCTATTTAATGTAATTCGATTTACACGAAAATTGGCATAGCGTACTAAATTAAGTCTAGAATGATGTGTGCTAATTTCGCGAAAATCGGTTCAGATTTAGATATAGCTCCCTTATATAGTTTAGCTCGATTTTATGTAAATGGTGCACCAAAGTCCCTAAAAATAATTCGATTTACACGAAATCTAGAATGATGTGTGTTAAATTTCGTAAAAATCGATTCAGATTTAGATATAGCTCCCATATATATTTTCGTCCGATTTAAGGTAAATGGTGCAAGAAAGACCCTCTATATCTTTCGATTTGCACGAAATTTGGCGTAGCGTACTGGATTAAGACTAGAGCGATGTGTGTTAAATTTCGTTAAAATCGGTTAAGATTTAGATATAGCTCCCATATATAGTTTCGCACGATTTAATGTAAATGGTTGACCAAAGTCCCTATATATCATTCGATTTGCACCGTATTTGGCATAGCGTAATTAATTAGATCTAGAATGATGAATGTAAAATTTCTTGATTTTTTCAACTGAATTCGAAATATATAGCCGATGGGGGTATCATATAGTCGACCCTTCCTACTTTGTTTCTTTCCTTTCTGTATAATAATTAGTCAGATTTCGATTTTTCATCCATATACCGTTATACTACCAATGTACTGTACCCTATCATATTGTCGAATGGACTATTAGAACTTTTTATACATTTTTTTTTTTGGATAATTGAACATCAATAGCAATTCATTTTCATGTAGATGCATATGTTTCTAGACCAGAATACATGTATGTATGTATGAATATAATTACAACTCCTTTGAAGAGTTTTAGTCACTTACTTGTAGGCAAATGCTGCAAATGCACAACAGAAGAGCACAATAATCAGACACAATGTTGCCAATATTTCTGTGGGTAGCTTCATAATGGCCGAACATTGTAGGAATGTTTCATCATCACCTGAGGGACAATGCTGGATGCCATCACACCAAACACTGGCATTGACACAGGCATTCAGTTCACTGCATTTGTATTGGCATTCTTCTGCTCCGGACCAAAAGGAAGAAAATAACAACAACAGGAAAAACAAGGCATTAAGATTTTTTGTATTTGCAAAGGCCACTACACTACACACTTACCTGCAATACTTAACGTTGGTCCTGGTATCAATTCCATCCAATTAAATGAAAAATCACCATTCTCTGGTCTTAGGAACTCTACACTGATGGCTTTCGAACGATTTGCTATGGCAAAATTGGGACGTTCATTCCAGCCGGCACTGAATATTTCCACAAACTCATAGGCTTTGGAGTTGGGCGATAGGGGGCAGGCGGTAATTGACAAACCTGAAACAAATTCAAAAAAGCAATACAAAGGAAATGATATTAATGAAATTATTGCTGTGGTTTAAAGTCTGGTAAATTGTTGATGAGCTCTTCATTGAAATGCTTTGATTTCTTTTCTCTTGTTAGCATAAACGTATTTTGCAGTGCACATTTACGGCATTGTAAGAGGATAAATGCTAAATGGGTTATAGATGATTTGATAAAGACAAGTAAATTATGATTGGAAGTTATGTTGTCCAATAGAGGTGTGCGATATGCACAGGGACTTTCAATGTAAAGCGAATTTACAAATACATATGGGAACAATGTATGGGAATGGAAGGTACATTACAGATCACAACCAGTGAGCGGAGCAGTATAGTCGGACGGGGCCGACCATATGATACCCTACACAACTACCACGAAAAGCACACTTTCGGCGGTTCTATATTCTGAGCCTGGGCAATATTTCGTGATATTCGCACCCTTTTTACCGATTATAGATCAACAACTCCTATTTCTAAGTCTTGCATATTTTCCAAAATGTTTTTTCTTGAAGTGAATTTTTACGCCATACAATAAAAAATGGCCACTTAAGGTTTAGGTTGATTTGACCCTCGGAAAATTGACCGATCATCATCTAAACAGTCGGTCTAAGTATTTGGTCACATCCCCTTCACCTTGTAAAATATATGATGTTCTGTATAAAATAATTGTCTCGGTTCATTGCACCCCCTGAATGAAATCTCAACTTCACCGAAAACTATAGGCGTCGTCCTTGACCATAATTGGAACTTCATGTACAATTTCAAAGCGATCAGCGCGACATTTCCGTCCTCTAATGGAGTAATAGTAATAATATGCACATAGTCACCTTTACTTAATTACGTATAACTCCCGCATCGGAGTACATACAGCCATATAATTGGTATCAATTTGAAGGTCAACAACTCATCTTGGACATACTATCAACATCTCGAGTATATGTCCTTCAGGAGCTAGTATATACGCCCCAGAATACAAATTGTGTAATTTTTCACACAAAAGTCTTTATCAAAACAGGCATGCTTATCCATCTAAAATTTCACGATGTTCGGACCATAACTGCGGCCTCTGCAGCGACCAGAAAAGCCGACAAAAATTTTGTATTTGGTCCATTTCATCCCCTAATCAAAAACAATAGGGGTCTTCATTGGCTAGAACCCATCCTACATGCAAAATTTCGTGAAGATTGGTCCATAACTGTGGCCTGTATCGTGCTTACAAATTATAATGGACAGACGGACGGACGGACACACATGTCTAGATCGACTCAGCTAGTCGATATATGACGATCAGTATACTTAAAGGTGGGTCTAGGACCAATATTTCGCGGTGTTATATATGTTTGGGGCTGCACAAAGCTATAATACCCCGACAACATAGTTGTGTAGGATATAAATATCAGACGGGGTTAAAAATATGGTATTAACCTACTCCACTATGATTACATACATCGAATTTTTTATACTCTTCACAATGAGGTGGACAATCAAAATACCTAAGTCAGGTCTTTCAGGAGAAAACGGAATAACGGAATTAACCGATTTGTTCGATAAACCGGTGTTCGCTTATCCGAATTCGACTATAGTTGGTTTATCATTTACATTAATCAAACATAACACACACACACACATACATACCTTCTGATGTCGTCAGGACAACCCTTGAATTTGTCTCACATCGATATGAACTTGTGACCGACAGACTTGTATTCGATGCTTTCTTCGGATTATATTTTCGCAAGAATATCGCCTTTAATCGAACATAAAGAAATTTATTACCATTCGATGGTTCAATAAGCCATGGTCGAGTGCGACACTCCATCTGTGAAGTACATAAAGACCGGGTAAAAAAAAGAAACAATAAATTAATGTCATTAAATGTCAATACACAGATTTTGTGGGTAATGGAAATAAAGATGATTGAGACCATTTTGGGCCACTACGAAAACTTTAACAGATTGTTAAACACACGTTTCTTTTATACTCACATCACCGAATGTCATATCGATTGTCCCACTGGGACCGAATTTGCGGCGACCATCCTTGCAATTCGTTGGCCCTTTTACAAATTCAAACATACCCTCGAAATTTAAAGCATCCGGATCATCGAGTGTGGACATGTTGTAGGCTGTGAAATGGACTTCCACATCACGACTGGTCGATGTATATTCCACCGGTAAATGTGAAGAGTTTGATGAGTTGCAAAGGCAACCGCGAGGCAGTAAAATGGTGTCATGATATGGCCTTTCGAATATCTGTAACAAAAGAGATTCGAAAGTAGGAAGTGAGGGGAGGTGCAAAAAAAGAACAACATCCATTACATGGGCAATAATCACATGGCTGAGGTGTGTAATGTGGTGGTGGATATGGCTTCACGTGGCCATCTATCAATCAATTTTGTTATTGAATAACAAAAGCATTTATGCCGTCCCACGGTTGCGGCTATTTTGCATAACAATTCATGCATGGATACATCGATCCACCACCCATTCATTCATCCACATAAGTCTGTCTCCGTGCCTGCCAACACTTACCTCTACTTTAACACTGGTATCACCGTAACAGAATGACCTATTTATGTCCTCATCCACACGTGACATACACTGACGATTCATTGTGGTCACTTTGCGTAATTTAATGCGAACCCTCTCGCCACGCATCCCTTCAAATTTGTATATGCACTTGAGGTTGCGTGTGCCGCCACGTCCAAACAAGAATATATTTCGTACACTGCGAAAAATGGCCGGATCTTTACGGTCCATTAGGCTACTGACAAATTTACGATTACAATCGAGTTCACCACCACCCATGGGCAGGCCATCTTGATGGAGATCTATGAATTCGTATTTTAATTTAAATTCCAATGGCCTGAAAGTGAAAGAGAAAAATAATTTACGGGAAACTTGTAAATAAGTTTGGTATATTAAAAGCCGGGCGGGCCCGGTGATTTTGATATTTCTTTTATATTTAAGTCTAAATCTCTTTGACCCACTATATTTTGACTGATCATCCTGAAACCACAATGCTTATTGCAGATCTTAGTCCAGAAACACTGGACCCCTTACCAAAATAAAACAGACCAAAAGCGGGTCCAGAAACACGGGACCCAAGTTGAACCTTTGCTGGGACATGGAACATACAGAAATCCTATACGAAAACATCAACCGACATTGATAAGTTATGTTAGAAGAACCCTATGCTTATTCCGGATCTAATTTTCGGGTCATAATTGTGGTTTTTAGAGCGACCAAAAATATTGGACCCATAACCAACATATAGCAGGTCAATGCCAAACAGCTAAAAACGACGTAACGGACCTAACTTTTTATACCCTCCACCATTAGATGGCCATTGAAAATACCTAAAATCGATCGGGACTTTAATGTAGGGTCTATGTCATGGTAAATTGCTGCCAGGAGAAACCCTAAATACTAATTACAGATACTCTGGTTGGAAAAATTTGCCTGTAGCTTGAACATACCGAAATCCTCAAAATATCAAATTCTGGTTCCTTTATAAGACGGCTATATAAAAACACTAGCCGATATTGATAATTTTTTGTATAAAACCCCTATAAAAAAAGAAAAAATACCCGTTATATAGAGGTTATATAAATATTGGTGTGGACTTCGCCCATAACATGTGGAACATTTTTGGGGTTTGTTTCATAACTGTCTCATTTCATTTTTCAATATGATATTTCATATTTCATATTTTTTACAGCCCTCATACAAAGTTTCTACTTATTTTTTAATCTCATTTATACAATAAGGTCCATGTTTTGATGTACGCCTAAATATTGGACCCTATCGATTTTAGATATTTTGTATGTGCACCTCATCTTTGAGGGTATTGAAAGTTCGGGCAGTTTTAATTTTATCTCGCAAACCTTACCTTAAAACTGTCGATTCGGTATTTTTCAATTCCAGTGTTATTGAATCGCCACTGGAAACATAACTCTCCGATACGGTACAGGGTCGGGCATAGGTTTCATTGATATTTGCACGATCACAGGTTCGCGGTACAGTGCCACGACAATAACGGGCTATAACATTGGTGGTATTGTGTGAGTACTGTTGCAGTGAGGGATGGACCAGATTTGTTTCCGTAATACTAGAAATTTCGAAAATTATATCAAGAAGTATTTGATTACATAGCTGCCCTCCCCTCCCCCAAAACTTACCAATTCAGATCTTTACACACTGGTGGTTCTCTCATCGATCCATCCCAGATACGCAACATCCCACTACAATCTTCCTGGGTTTGTAAAACTCCAATTGCCCCAACGGAGGTTTCATCAATTTGTCCGAATTCCGGATCCAAATTAAATTTCAACATTGATATCCACACCTTGAAACGTGAGGGTGGGGCATGGGCCCCTTGGGCATTTGTACGCCTTGAAAGGCTCAAATGATCGAATGTTTTAAATATGCCAACACCTTGCAGATGATAGAGGCAGGTTGTGTTGGGCGCCAGCGAGTGTTTGGGATTTTCCAAGATGCCGCGTCCTGCACCTCTTATCCAGAATTCACAGGGTTTTTTGTTTTTCGAATAGGTGGGTGATTGTACATCGACAAAAATAACTTCAACCTGTGGAAATATTCAACACATACATATAAAAACACACACAGAACACACATACAACTCATGTCACGTCTGCCCCTTTGCTGTCAACATACCTCCAATTGAAAGCCATAAAGTGGCAAGACTTGTGATGAACTTCCAGTAAATGTGCCATAGGGTGAAGTGGTGAACTCCACTAATAACTCCGGACCACTGGAGACAGCAGCTGGCACAGCTTGGCCGCCACCGCAGAATTTCAGCATAATTGGATCACGCGTAGTATAGCCATCATATATGGTCACGTAGTCCTGAAATCATTAAAATACATACACACACATAAACAACATTATCATCAGCAGTAGCAGCAACATGAAGTGTTTGCTGTGTGTCATTTCTGTTCAGAGTGTTTTCATGTCACTCCCCCGAAAAACGACACAACTCGGGGCAGCAGGACCAGAAGGGGTGCAAAAAAAGAACAGAACAGAATATAAAAAAAAGATAAAAAACCAGAAACAATATCAACCATAAATTCCTACAGAAAGGTGACACATTTAATTATGTGTTGCTTGAGAAAATAGAAATGGACCAGTAAAGGGTGTTGGGTGAGAAAAGGGCCACATACTCACACACACACACATACTACGTATGCAAAGTGAATACGTGTCCAGGTGACATGATGCTCTTGCAGGAATTGTTAAAGAACATAAATGGAGTAATAGATATAAATAACTTGGCACAGAAAGGGGGAGAGAGAGAGATAGAGGTAGCAAGAAAATGGCGGGGGTGAAGTTGTGTGTGTTGACAGCAAAAAAATGCGACAATTATTTAACGTTATTACGGTGGTTTACTAGGGTTCTTGATACATCCACAAACGTTTTTGCAAATGCAATTCTAGGATTATAATTTTTTTTTCATTTCACTGTAGATTTGAATACTAATGCTAGAAAATTATATGGTATTTTCATTTTTCTACAAAATGAATTGTTTTTCATATTATCACTTTTTGGTGAAGAAAAAAGTGGTAGAAAAAAAAAACAAAAAAGGAAGACTTGAAATAAAAAATTTAAGAGTTATTAAAAAAAATAATAAATAATACAAATAATATTTTCATATAGAACCATTCAATAAATGGAATACCATTTTAATAGACCTTCAGTAGAAAAATTCTTATTTTATATAAATTTGCAATAATTGAAAATGGTTTGTATGTTTCGATATACCTTTTCAAGTGGACTTGAATAGAAAAGTCTCTGGTTAGCAATACAAATAGTGCTTCACATATTAAATTTGTATGAATTTTAGTAAACCCAGAAATTAATAATTAAATAAAACAGGGCTTGCACAGTGGTTTATAATTGTTCTTCCCTGCCAAAAGTCTGTGACTTTTTCTTTATATTTTTTTTCTTCTACAGATAAAATAATAGGCTGAATCGAAAGCTATCAAATTAGGCTCAGAAGTTGCAGAAAATATCAAGGTCAAAATTAAACTTTGAATTTTTTTTTATATTTTGTAATGTAATGACATTTTTGCGGATATTAATAATTGTTGACACAACAAAGAGAAATCAAAATATTACATTAAAGGCTATTTTGTTAAAAAAATGTGCCATGAATTCCCAAAATACCGAATAATTAAGGAGTATTACAGTTTGAAGCCACACCGAATGGAAATAACCTTCAAACTACCTTAAATTGGGCGGTAATCTTTTGAAGGGGTCTATCCTCTAAACATTTATATGGGTTGACAATTTTCTATGTGGTTACTATATAAAACCAGTAAGCAAAGCAGTAAAGTCGGACGGGGCCGACTATATGATACCCTTCACCACTATGGGTATATTGAACAGACTATTAACATAAAATTAGACTATTAACATTAAATCGGACGAAAATATATATGGGAGCTATATCTAAATCTGGACCGATTTTCACGAAAGATGACAGACATAACTCTAGGCTCAATTCAGTACGTTATGCCAAATTTCGTGCAAATCGAAAGATATATATTGACTTTGGTGCACTATTCACATGAAATCGGACGAAACTATATATGGGATCTATATCTAAATCTGGACCGATTTTCTCCAAACTTGGCAGACATAACTCTAGACTTTAGTCAGTACGCTATGCCAAATTTCGAGCAAATCGACAGATATATAGGGTCTTTAGTGCACCATTTACCTTAAATCGGACGAAACTATATATGGGAGCTATATCTAAATCTAGACCGATTTTCTCGAAACTTGACAGATATCATTCTAGGCATAATTCAGTACGCTATACCAAATTTCGTGCAAATCGACAGATATATAGGGTCTTTAGTGCACCATTTAACTTAAATCGGACGAATCTATATAGGGGAGCTATATCTAAATCTGGACCGATTTTCTCGAAACTTGGCAGACATCATTCTTGTCTTTATTCAGTACGCTATACCAAATTTCGCGCAAAACGACAGATATATAGACCATTTACATTAAATCGGACGAAGATATATATGGGAGCTATATCTAAATCTGAACAGATTTTCACGTAACTTAGCACACATCATTATAGGCCTAATTCAGTTCGCTGTGCCAAATTTCGTGCAAATCGACAGATATATAGGGTCTTTAGTGCACCATTTACCTTAAATCGGGCGAAACTATATATGGAAGCTATATCTAAATCTAGACCGATTTTCTCGAAACTTGACAGACATCATTCTAGGCATAATTCAGTACGCTATACCAAATTTCGTACAAATCGACAGATATATAGGGTCTTTAGTGCACCATTTAACTTAAATCGGACGAATCTATATAGGGGAGCTATATCTAAATCTGGACCGATTTTCTCGAAACTTGGCAGACATCATTCTTGTCTTTATTCAGTACGCTATACCAAATTTCGTGCAAAACGACAGATGTGTCGTAGTGCACCATTTACCTTAAATCGGGCGAAACTATATATGGGAGCTATATCTAAATCAGCACCGATTTTCTCGAAACTTGGCAGACATCATTCTAGGCCTAATTCAGTACGTTATGCCAAATTTCGTGCAAGTCGAGAGATATATAGGGACTTTGGTACACCATTTACATTAAATCGGATGAAAATATATATGGGAGCTATATCTAAATCTGAACCGATTTTCAGGAAACTTAATACACATCATTCTATACCTAATGCATTACGCTGTGCCAAAGTGCGTGCAAATTGGAAGATATATAGGGACTTTGGTGTACCATTTACATTAAATCGGACGAAAATATATATGGAAGATATATCTAAATCTGAACCGGTTTTACCCAATAGGATTCGACCTTGGGTCAAATAAGTGACCTATGCCAAATTTCCTCCAAAGCGGATCATAAATGCGACCTATACTTTGTTCACAAAAATACATGGACGGGCAGACGGACATGCGTAAATCGACTCAGAAAGTGATTCTATGCATATTCTCAAGAGGAACCATGTGTCTATCTCGTTTCCTTTTGCATGTTACAAACATATGCACAAAGACATAATACCCTGTACCACTGTGTGGTGAAGGGTATAAAAATCCTAACCAAAAATCGATGTGCTTCGGGGTAAGCCCTAGAGAGCGGCATCGGGCACGTTTTTCCATCGAATTGACTATAATTTGCAAATCTAGTGGTGTTCCAAATTTCTCCACTAAAAGTTAAGTTTTTGAGGGGTTTTGGATAATGACATTTATTCAGAAAATTGTTAATATAGGTGATGTTTTGCTATTATTTTATCATATTTATTTTGAAGATTTTAGACACATTCTCTGGGTTCACGTAGGGTAGGAAATATTTATGCGGAAAATTTTCTATGTTTTGACATATTCCCCATATAAAAGTTAATTTAAAATATATGTTTGCCAACATTTTTCGATTTTGGTCCATTTTTGACATAACTTCATTATAGTCCTCAAATAAAGGTCCTGTCCAATTTGTGGTATTTTGAGAGTTTTAGCATTATTTTGCAAACAAAAATTCTGACATCTCGAAATTTTCACCGGACACCCTGCAAATTATAAATAAAGTTCTATGTCGATTAACGGAGAAGGAGCACGCATTAATTTTAGATATTTTGATTATCATCCTCATGGTGGAGGGTATACAAAGTTCAGCCGGTTGGAGCTTAACATCGTTTTTATTTAAAATGTTCGGCCCGGCCGAACTTAACCACGATTACACTTTTTTATTCTCTGAAAATGAAATTATTGACTTATAATCACATCGCTTTAAAAATGTCTAAAATGGGGCGAGATGCCGCCTGGATTTATTCAAAATTTACAATTTTCTGCAAAGATTTTTTTTAAATCTCTTTAAAAGTTTTCATAGCCTGTAAATGTATATGAAAATGTTCAATTTGTTGAAAAGTACTAAATTTAGCCTCAAACGGTACTTCTAATACACATTATATTGAATTAACGATTAAAGCTGTAATCTTTCAAATTTGTGTGGGAATTTTATTATATGGTTTAGGATTGTAAGTGGGAATTCAATAACTTTTCGAAATTTTGTAACGGGTACTAAAATTAGTACGTTTATTAGTTGGCGAGGAGATGGATCTAGGATATTTATAAGGTTGAGAAAAAGAGTTGATCACTTAGTGTACACAAAATGCTAATTGGTACTTAATTTAGTACAAATAGTATATGATGGACGTATAGAATAGGCATCGCTAATAGTGTGCAAGACAAGAAAATGTGGTGGTTTTAACAAGTTGTACCCTAAGTGTACGAAAAATTCTAAATGGTGTTGAATTTAGTAAAATTAGTTGTGAGTGAAGCGTTAGGTGCTAATACCATGAATATCGGTATGTGGGAGGTGTATGAGACTGTGGATTTTTGAAAGTGCATGAAAAATAGTCCATATATAGTTTCTTTAAATTATCAGATATTGCTGAAGGAATGATGCTTTGGGATACAAAAGGAGGTTTCGTAAGTTCTTAGCAATAGTGCACGAAATTGGAGAACATTCTTAAGAAGATTAAACAACTAAGTTTAATTGAATACGAAAAGTCTACATTTAGTACAAATGGTATTAAACCAATATTTATTTTAGAAAAAAAAAACAGTAAGGAAAGTAGTAAAGTTGGACTGGGCCGACTATATGATACCCTTCACCACTTTGGGTATATTGTACATATGTATCCTAACAATTGCATGTCTATGTTCCCTCTTTCTCCGACCTATCCTAACTTTAATTTCATTCGAGCAGATTAGAGCCGCCTGCGTAACATGGGGAAAATTTATGGAAAACGATTTATAGCTAAATTTATACACGCTCGGTACGCCGCGTTGTTAAAAATA